GGTGGAGCTGCGCATGCGTCGTACGCCTGCTGCCCAGGGCTCAGGAATGGCTGTCATTGAGGCTGCCCGTTTAAGAAATGCAGTTACAGGCTTTTTTTAGGTCACATTAGGCTCCTGCTGGCGACCACCATCTTGAAAAATCCATTTTGAATGGCCGCGCAAGATGGCTCCTCTGCCCCAATGAGGATGGGGGGAGGGTCTCTGCGGAAAAGAGACAAGAGGCTGCACCTCACAAAGTCCCCATCCCTTTGCAGTCTGCCCAGCAAATGGCACGGTCCCAGCCCAGGCCAGGAGTAGCCTGATGTAGGATGGGACACAAAAGGAATGCCCCTCGGGTCCTCCGATTCACCCTCCTGCATGAGAGGGGAGGGACGAAAGGACTCCGTGCGTAATTAACCCACACAACTTGCCAGCGCAGGATACTGCCAAGCACTAGGGCTGTGTCTATACTGGCCACTTATTCTGGAAAATCAGCCACTTTTCCGGAATAACTTGCCAGCTGTCTACACTGGCCCCTTGAATTTCCGGAAAAGCACTGACGATCTACTGTAAAATCATCAGTGTTTTTCCGGAAAAACTATGCTGCTCCTGTTTGGGCAACCAGCCACTTTTCCGGAATAACTTGCCAGCTGTCTACACTGGCCCCTTGAATTTCCGGAAAAGCACTGACGATCTACTGTAAAATCATCAGTGTTTTTCCGGAAAAACTATGCTGCTCCTGTTTGGGCAAAAGTCCTGTTCCAGAAAACTGTTCCGGAAAAAGGCCAGTGTAGACAGCACAGATTTCTTTTCCGCAAAAAAGCCCCGATCGCGAAAATGATGATCGGGGCTTTTTTGCGGAAAAGTGCGTCTACATTGGCATGGACGCTTTTTCCGGAAATACTTATAACGGAAAACTGTTCCGTTTTAAGCATTTCCGGAAAATCATGCCAGTGTAGATGTAGCCCTAGCGTTCAGATTCATACACTGGCCAAGTCCACCATCATCTCTCCCTTTCTTTCCAGATCAGTCTGGGGATCCGCAGGGACACTCACTTTGCCCTTGTCGAAGAAAGCGATAATTTCTTGGTAGAGTTTCTCCTTGAGTTCCTGTTGTGAATACACGTAGTAGCTGTCCCTCTGCAGCAGATAGGGAGCACAGGGCTTATCGGACCACTGGGAACAGAGAAATACAGTTGAAAAGAACTGGGATGTGTTCAGCCAAACCTGAGCAGGTTCAACTCGTGTGGATGTGTCTCAGCCTAATTCAGCAGTAATGCAAGAGGAGGTACAAGTTAGACGGCAGCAATAAATGGTCAGAAAACAGGTGTAAAACCTTGTTTACACACAAAAGGTGCACTGGTCTACCTTAAATCAGTTTATAAACCAATTTAGTTCAATTGGTGCAAACTCCTTTGTGGAGCCTCTTACATCAGGTTGAAACTGGTTGTACTGGTTAAGCACCTATATTTATTTGTGAACTAAACTGACATAAGTCAGGTTTAAATAAACTTAAGTATCCCTGCACAGAAAAGTTGCACTAGTTTAACTAACCTGGTATAAAATCATGCTTTTAGTTAAACCAGCGCAAGACTGCATGGGGAGGAACGGGTTGACCAGGCATAGGCGGCAAAGCTGTGCAACTTGCACAATCAATCAACATTTGGACATAATTGCTTACCTACACGGAGTGTTGCACCTTTAATTTTAGTTCACAGTATCATTTTAAACTACTCAAAGTCTGTGTGGATGTTCTTATCTCACCACAAGACAGGGCTTTTTGGCACAAGTTCAAGCTAAACAGCAAAACGTCACTCCTAAGCCAAAATAAGACAAGCCACACTGAAGTTTGCATCCTTTTAATTCAATCAATCAGGCACGTGTGTGTAGACAAGGCTTCATTTAGCACTGGAATGGGTTCCCTGGGAAGGTGGTAGAACCTCCATCCCTAAAGGTTTTTAACCAAAATTTGTAGTGGGCCCCCCATTAAAAATGATGCTCGCTCCGGGTTAGATAATAGCCATCCTTGAGTGCAGGGGACTGGACTAGATGACCTCTCAAATCCAGTCATATGATTTCTATGAAACCATTGTAATTCAAAGGGTAGTTAAAAACACCGGAGCAGAGTTCCAAGGGAGGCTGTGGAATCATAGAATCATAGAACTGGAAGAGACCTCAGGTCATCAAGTCCAGCCCCCTGCTCTAGGCAGGACCAATTCCAACTAAATCAACCCAGCCAGGGCTTTGTCAAGCCGAGACTT